GTGCCCATTTTGCGAGATCATATTTACGTCGACGACGTGTTGTTCGGTCACGACGACTTGATCGCTCTACGTGCCACGCGAGATCAATTAGTTTCGTTGTTACGTCGCGGTGGGTTCGAACTTCGGAAATGGGCAGCCAATTCGGCCGCTCTCCTTTCTGATATTGATGACTCTGAGCACGGAACCGCGTGCGACAAATCCTTATCTCGCTCCGACAATCTCAATATTCTCGGCGTTGAATGGAATCCAGTCCTCGATGCTTTTCAGATTCGGGTGTCCATGTCAGATGACCTTCCCCGCACCAAGCGTTCCATTCTTGCCGCCATCGCTCGATTGTACGATCCTCTCGGATGGGTCACCCCCGTGATTCTCTCTGCCAAAGTTTTAATGCAGACACTCTGGAAAAATAGACTCTCATGGGACGAGCCCATTCCGCCCGCGCTATTCCGTCACTGGCAACAAATCTGCGACGGTATTTCGCAATTGAGTAGCTTGAGATTACCGCGGTGGTCCGGGTTCACCGCTGATTGTGAGCTCGAGCTGCACGGATTCGCGGATGCATCAATCGTCGCATATGCTGCCGCCGTATATTTGAAGGTCGTCGATTCCTCTCAGACCGTCACTATCAGCTTATTACTGGGCAAAACGAGAGTTGCTCCTCTGAAGCCGCTTAGTATACCCCGACTAGAATTGTTGGGTGCTGCTCTGCTCGCTCGTCTCATCAATTTCGTTAAATCGACTCTCGCAATCGACGATCTGCCGTGTTTCTGTTCCGTGGTCCGACTCCACGGTCGTTCTGGCCTGGCTCCGCCAACATCCCTCCCGGTGGAAGACGTTCGTTGCTAATCGCGTGGCTGACATCCAGCAGCGTCTTCCAGAGATAGAGTGAAGGTACGTCGCGACAGCTGACAACCCGGCGGATTGCGCTTCGCGTGGTCTGTCGGGCGACGATCTCCTCTCTCACTCGTTATGGTGGCACGGGCCTGCTTGGTTGGCATCTCCGAGCAACCGATGGCCGCGTTCCCTGGCTTTGCCTCTGGACGCGGCTTCTCTCGAAGCAAACGTGCACTCATTCTCCTCGTCAACGGCTCCGCCGCCCTCTGACGACTGGGACTTGAGGGAGAGATATTCCTCGTGGCCGAAGCTCCTCCGCGTAACTTCGTACGTGCTCCGCTTTATAGCTCGGTGTCGAGGGCCCACTCGACAGTGTGAAATCGCAAATCAAATCCAGCCTTTCTTATCCGCACGTGAGTTCGAGGCCGCTCGAATATTCTGGCTCCGACGGATTCAGCGCGAGCTCTTCTCCGCGGAAATCCGCGATCTGGAGCAGCAGCGCCGATTATCAGTAAAGAGTTCCATTCTCTCGCTCACATCGTTTCTCGATCGCGACGGGTTGTTGCGTGTTGGCGGGCGGCTTCAGCGCGCCTTTCCCATCGATTTCTCGACATCCGATCCTGCTAGCCGATCATCCTCTCGTAAAGTTAATCGTCAAGCAAACTCATTTGCGAGGACTGCATGCCGGCTTGCAACTCACTTTGTCAATTTTGCGACGTGACATTTGGGTCCTTCACGCGCGGACCATCGTTAAGGCCATCATACATAAGTGCATCGTATGCACTCGCGAACGAGCTACTGTTCCGACTCAGCTTATGGGAAGCCTTCCCGCAGTACGTGTGACGGCCCCTCCCCGCAGTTTTACTCACTGCGGACTTGATTATGCTGGGCCCGTCTCTGTTCGCGCCTCCGCGGAACGCGGGATCACTTCGCGAAAGGCCTACATAGCTCTGTTCGTTTGCTTGTCGTCACGCGTTATTCATTTGGAGCTCGTCTCCGATTATTCGTCTCACGCGTTCCTTAACGCCTATACGCGGTTCTGCGCTCGTCGCGGTCTCCCACGATCCATTTATTCGGACAATAGTACAACCTTTGTTGGTGCTTCGCGCGAACTTCGAGCCGCGTACCGCTCCGCTGTTCAAGATCCGAACTTTCAGAATCGCGTCGCATCGGATGAGGTGAATTGGCAATTCATTCCGCCGTCCGCTCCGCATTTCGGCGGACTGTGGGAAGCCGGTGTTAAAAGTGTTAAACACCACTTGAGGCGGGTGCTCGGTACGCACACATTAACATTCGAAGAGTTTACCACGCTCTTGTGTAAAATTGAGGCTTGCTTGAATTCGCGCCCGCTTGCTCCTCTATCGGATTCGCTCGACGATTGCGACTACTTGATTCCAGGGCATTTCTTGATCGGGTCAGCCATCACGACGAGCCCTGAACCAACGTTGCTTCATCTTAACGAAAATCGGTTGTCTCGGTGGCAACTAATTAGACAAATGACAGAACGCTTTTGACGTTTGTGGTGCAGCGATTATGTGAATACGTTGCAACAGAGAAGCAAGTGGCGTAGAAAGCAAGCTTCGATACCGATCGGTAAACTCGTGCTTATACGAAACTCGATTCTCCCCCCGAGCAAGTGGGAACTCGGGCGTATCGTTCAATGTCATCCGGGCACTGACGGACTGACCCGCGTGGTCACCGTCAAGACGGCGGCTTCGGAATACACGCGATCTATCGGAAAGATCTGCCTCTTGCCTGTCGGTTGCGAGCCGATATCCTCTCCGACACCTGTCTAAATTCAACTCGACGCGGATGATTTTACCTTCCTCCGCATTAGTCTTAAGGCATTCGATTATATGCCAGATTAACGCCTGTTTTGAAGCCTCCGCTTCAAGGCGTGCGGTATGTTCGCGACGCGAGCGAAAAACTAGCGCAGAGTCGTCGCGATGAGAGATCGGCACTGTCACGTGCCTTCCACGTGCTTAGGTATTCCGCGGCGCATGCCAGGTAAGACGGAATAAACACCGATTGCTTTCGGTTGTCATAGCAACTGCGGATAAACAGTGTTTCCGCGAATCGAAAGCCGGCACGCGCCGTGGAACCTTACATAGCGTGAAACATCTCCTTTTAAGGAAATTTCGGCACGCGACCAGCGATCATCTTTTGCTCTGGACCAATCAGCGGGTGCCAGAGATGAGGAAAAATGGGCTTGTTCCACACGTCAATTAGCCGCGTTTTACAGAAGGCCAAACAGTCGTGCATCCTCTTAGCTACCAGCAAGACGTCGGAAGAGAGTCGGAGCAATCTATCGTCTTTATAGTAAGGTCGCGTATCGCGGAGTTAGCTGCGTTCGCGTTCTTATTCTCAAATCTTCTGTCTCATTCTCCTTTGAGTTTCCGAATTAGCGGAAGTTTAATTTTCATATTTCTGAGTCGCCGGTCGCCGTCGGCGACCGCTCTCTTGCGAAACTCCGGATTGCTCCGTTCTCATAGCCGTCGGCTGTCTCGACCGCTGTCTGCTTCGGCCGTTCTGAGTCATCAATCGCGGCGTTTTCGCGTTGCCTTGAACGACTTTATCCGTCCAGTACATTTGATTAGCATCGCGCGGGCTGGAAATCATAATTTCTGCTTTTTTTTTGTGTTGTCCTGCGCTAAAGTGCCGCGGAATCTCGACGATCGTTTCGGGAAAGAGTCAGTGGTTATCGCGGTACAAGATCTCCGTCGGCCGCGTCAAGATCTCCATCGGCCGGGTATCCGTCGGATGCTCCACATGATTTCCGTCGTGGTTGTGTGACTGAAATTACGACTCTCAGAAGATTTCCGCTCCAACTCACGATCTAATCAAGATAGCCGCGGCGTAAAGTTATCGAGAGTGTAAAATAAAGTGAATAATTTAATTCGAACAAATCAGTTCATAACCGATTTCGCCTCCCTTTCCTCACGCCGCTGGACCTCGTGCGAGGTCAATCCAGTAAGCGTCATTCTCTCCGCTAATTTGAGAGAATTTGCTACACTTGTATTTTAGGAAATATTCAATAAAAATGACAAAGTCCTTTTTTTCAAGGGGCTATTTCAACCCCTAAATTTAACATTCAGCCGATAAAGAAATACGTGTCGAATACATTTTGATGCTCTACAACATATCCAAAGCGCATCAAAATCAGTGAAGGACAGTTCTGTTAGTACTCTTGTGAGAGTTACTCAGGAGGGTGACCTCTACAACATATGTCAAGGTCAAGGTCATTGGAGCTGTCTCCCCTAAAATCTGTCCGCGTGGGCGGCGGACGTTAAGAATACCCCCAACATATGGCCTGCGTGTCGTAAAAGGCGACTAAAAGGCCCTCATGGGTGGGTTGCTGCGCCCATGAGTATTAGGAGCCGGAGGGCTCCCCTCCTTCTCGCTTCAGAGAGGGAGGGAAGCCCAATGGCGCCTACAGCAGGGGAGCGAACCGGATCCCTTATGCCAGCATGGTACCGGTCTCTCGGGTGGGCAGCGGCGCCCGAGAGTTTCAGAGGAAGGCGAGCGCGCCCGGCTGTCCTTAGGGCAGCCGGTGCGGGTGAACCGACCTCACCGCGGG